AAAAAAACAAAAAAAAAAAAACAAAATTAGCCAGGCATGGTGGCACATGCCTGTAATCCCAGTTACTTGGAAGGCTGAGGCAAGAGAATCGCTTGAACCCGGGAGATGAAGGTTGCAGTGAGCCAAGATCGTACCATTGCACTCCAGCCTGGGCAACAAGAGTGAAACTCCGTTTCAAAAAACTAAAATAAATAAAAAAATAAAATAAAATAAATAACTAAAATAAGCACTTAATGCTATACATTTCCCTCTAAGTACTGCTTTAACTGCAACCTCAAATTTTTATATGTTTTCATTTTCATTTAATTCAAACTGTTTTCTAATTTCCCTTGGTCATTAATCACATTCAGACAGTATGGGTTGTGGTTAACGGCTGGTCTCCAGTTCATCTGCCCGAGTTTCAGTCTCGTCTTTATCTTTTACTAGCTGTGTGACTTTGGACAATTTGCTTAACAGCTCTAGGCCTCAGTAACTCATCATAAAAAGGGAATAGTATTGACTTCACTGTACTACCCTACACATCCTCTGAGGCACACTCCAACCTGCCCAAGCCTTCCTTCGCACCTGGGGTAGTGATGGGAAGCTGGGTCCCCTTGTCAGCCAGTCCACTGTCTCCCAAGGCGTTGCTGGCCAGCAGCCAGACCTTGTATCGTGTAGAAGGCTGCAGACCAGTCAGTGTGAAGGTGGTGGCCTGGGGTGGTAGGACATCCATATAGTGGAACCCTGGAGTCCCCAGGGCCTCATACCTGCAGGACAGGGGGGATAGTAAGTTCAGGGAAGTGCCCCAGCCCATTGGCTGCCTCCGCTTCCTTCCTGCCCCAACAAGCACCCACCTGATGTAGAACCTCTGTGGCAGGCCCCCATCAAAGCCAGGCTTCCACTCCAGCTCCACAGAGTGTGGGGTCAGACTCACAACCTTTAATCCTGATGGAGGGTCAGGGCGGCCTATGGGGAGAAAGATGGGAAAGCAGTCAGAGGATACAAAAGAATCCCAGAAGATTCTGTCCAAGTTTTCCCTAGGAATGATTTTAAATATACAATCGCTTCTCATTGTTCACGGTATAGTCATGTTCTATAAGGTCACTGTGAACACTCCTCTGGCAAACACCAAACTGTTCCTAAAATCCCAGTACTTTGTGAGACCAAGGATGGAGGATTGCTTGAGCCCAGAAGTTCGAGACCAGCCTGGGCAACATAGCAAGACCCTGTCTCAAATTAAAATTACAATTAAAAATAATTTTAAGAAGAAGTGAGTAAAAACAAAACCAAAAGAAACAGCAAAAAAAATTCAAGACCAAATGGTTGCTTCTATGGAAAATAAAGATTAGGTTTCTTTCTTTTTTCTTTCTGTCTTTTTTTTTTAGATAGAGTTTTACTCTTATTGCCCAGGCTGGAGTGTAGTGGTGCAATCTTGGCTCACTGCAAACTCTGCCTCCTGGGTTCAAGCAATTCTCCTGCCCCAGTCTCCCGAGTAACTGGATTACAGGTGCCCGCCACCATGCCCAGCTAATTTTTTGTATTTTTAGTAAAGACGAGGTTTCACCATGTTGGCCAGGCTTGTCTCGAACTCCTGACCTCAGGTGATCCACCCACCTTGGCCTCCCAAAGTGCTGGTATTACAGGCATGAGCCACTGCGCCTGGCTTGGTTAGGTTTCTTTTCTTCTTCTTTGAGATGGAGTCTTGCTCTGTTGCCCAGGCTGGAGTGCAGTGGCCCAATCTCAGCTCACTGTAACCTCCA